CCCCAGGAAGCCGCCCTGGATCCGCCTATAGGATCGTATAGTAGTTCTTTGGTTTTTTTTTTTTTTTACTAATTTGGATATTAATTGATTTGTGGTTGCAGCAAGAAAGTGCTATAAATTGTACGAATGGATTTCTACAGTTTAGTGGCAATGTGTGCTTCCGTTCAGAGGTATGTAGCAGCTGGCTGCGCTCATTTTATAGTATTTTAATATCCATTTCATTGAAAATGCTAGATCTGACCACGGAAAATAGGCAAGTAAAAGCTCATCGCCAAACAGTCTTTAATTGGCCTAGCCATGGCAATCCGGCGCAACAAGATGGCTCGGGGGACGAAAAACTGCTGCTAGATGCCATCGAGATTTTTCTTCGCATTAGTGCCTTTCGTGGTGAACAATGTCCGCCTTTCGTGGTGAAAAATGTCCAAGCACCAAATCACTTGTGTGCCTCCTAATTTCATTGTTTTCTGTGAATAGCTCAATTTTTTTTTATCCAAAATTTAAATCAGCGGTCACTGAGTTTGGCCACTTTCGAAATTATTGTTCTGTTGTTCAGTAGGCAATGCGTGTATGGTTTAACTGTGAAAGCTTTGAGAATTTTAAGCAGATGCCCTTCCAATCACGAATTTTAGTATCATTTAGGCTTGAATCTGACAAATTATTGCAATATTTTTGTGTGAAAGAACTGAAACACATTTCTGGATAATGTGCTGTAAACAGGCTGAATGTATGGTTGTTAATTATCGCTTATTCACAGAGCGGTATTTCAGATCTCCGGGAATATCTGCTGTGATGTTTGTTCGAAAGCGTTACTGCAAAAATTAGAAGCATGCGGAGAAATAGAAGAAATTGTTAGCGTGTTAGATGACTTGGTTGGAGGATGGTCTCTTCTCTATTACAGGGTATAATCCATTTGATTCTGAAAGCGGATGCATTTTCCAATACATTGATTTCTCAAGCGAATCTGCATTACCGCATATGGAGCTCTTCGTGTGTTTAATCCCTCTTTTTGTGCCTCTTTTTTCCAGTAATTTATTCGTTGTAGGCCGATCTGAGCCGATTTTTCATTGGACGTGATGCTTTCGGTCGAAAGAGCTTATTGTGGACTCGTACAAATAACAAATTCTCTTTTTCCTGCTTTACCTACGAACCAAAGGTAATTGATTTTTTTTTTATGAAGAACAAAAAACTGCTGGCAAACCAGTATACGTAGGTATACCTGTAGTTACTATGTTCCGTGTTAATATTTTCAGTGTGATTGGCACGATGTTCCGGCTGGCACAGTGACAGTGGTGGATATGCGTGATCGGGAAGCTAACCGGCTGTTTTACATTTTCGATGCTGGCGAACTCTGGGCACTTCAGTTCAGCAAACTGGAGAAAATTCAGAAGAAAATGGCTTTGAAGAGACTCATACCTTCTTACGAGCAGGCTGAGGAGCAGGTAGCCCAGTCGTATGCGCATTGATTTAGCGCATTCTTGAATCGCTTGTAATTTCTTCAAATTTCGTCGAAATAGCTCTGCTTCAGTCT